GGTTTGGGTTAGAGAACGGCCATGGTTGGGTTTGGGTTAGGAAATGGCCAAGGTTGGGATTGGGTTTGGGGATGGCCATGGTTGGGTTTGGGTTAGAGAATGGCTATGGTTGGGTTTGGAAGGGTTTGGGGATGGCCATGGTTGGGTTTGGAAGGGTTTAGAGATGGCCATGGTTGGGTTTGGGTTAGAGAATGGTCATGGCTGGGTTTGGATTAGGGGACTGCTTTGATTGGGTTTGGAAGGGTTTCGGAATGGCTATTGTTGCATTTGGAAGGGTTTGGAGATGGGCAAGGTTGGATTTGGGGTTGGGGATGGCCATGTTTGGGTTGGGGAATGGCCATGGTTGGGTTTGGAAGGGTTTGGGGATGGCTGTGGTTAGGTTTGGATTAGAGAATGACCATGGTGGGATTGGGTTAGGGGATGGCCATGGTTGGGATTGGGTTTGAGGATGGCCATGGTTGGGATTGGGTTTGAGGATGGCCATGGTTGGGTTTGGAAGGGTTAGGGGATGGCCATGGTTGGGTTTGGGTTAGAGGATGGTCATGGCTGGGTATGGATTAGGGGACTGCCTTGATTGGGCTTGGAAGGATTTGGGAATGGCCATTGTTGGATTTGGAAGGGTTTGGGGATGGGCAAGGCTGGGTTTGGGGTTGGGGATGGCCATGGTTGGGTTGGGGAATGGCCATGGTTGGGTTTGGAAGGGTTTGGGGATGGCCATGGTTGGGTTTGGGTTAAAGAATGGCCATGGTTGGGTTTGGATTAGAGAATGACCATGGTGGGATTGGGTTAGGGGATGGCCATGGTTGGGTTTGGAAGGGTTTAGAGATGGCCATGTTTGGGTTTGGGTTAGAGGATGGTTGTGGCTGGGTATGGATTAAGGGACTGCCTTGATTGGGTTTGGAAGGGTTTGGGAATGGCCATTATTGGATTTGGAAGGGTTTGGGGATGGGCAAGGTTGGATTTGGGGATGGCCATGTTTGGGTTGGGGGATGGCCATAGTTGGGTTTGGAAGGGTTTAGAGATGGCCATGGTTAGGTTTGGCGATGGCTATGGTTGAGTTTGGAGATGGCCATGGTTGGGTTTGGAGGAGTTTGGGGAGGGCCATGATCAGGCTTAGGATTCTTGTGGACAGCCACAACCAGTTTTAGGTGTTGCTGGGGACCACCACAATTACTGGGAACAGTTTTGTGATGGTCTGGGAACAGCTGAGGCACCAGTACCGTGATGACATCGAGGATGCTGAGCAGGCTGTGCACGCTGTCTCCAGGAAACACCTCTTTCATCACTGTCTCCTTTCCATCCTGCACAGCACAAATCCCTCTGTTCTTCACAGCCCCATCTCCGTGGTGCCCCCATCCCATCCCACAGTGTCCCCATCCTGTCCCCGTCCCCGCACCGGCTCGGTGAGGAGCAGCTCCAGCTTGCCATCCTGCAGCACGTAGATGCTGGTGTCGGGCTGCCCGGGTCGGAATACATAATCCCCTTGTTGACACTGCTGGAAAACCATGTGCTTGCAGAGCTCCAGAAACAGCGGCTTCTCAAAGTGTCCCAACACCCTGCGGGGATGGGGGACAGCAGGTGACACAGTGCTGATGGCCACTGCACCAAAACGCCACCTCGCATCCCGTTGCTATGGCAACAGCGGATGCAGAGCACGAAGCATCCGTGATCCAGCTCCCAAAAAAAAGGCTGTGAGGTGCGGATGGATCACTACCAGCTTTAGGGTTGGGGGGCAGGACGTGAATCCAGGGTCGTTCTGAGACTCACCGGACGTTTTTGAGCATGTAGAGCACCTCGGAGGGGAGGTGGGAGTTGGCCACGTCGAATTCAGTCAGGTCAGCTTCCAGCACCGAGGGAGGGGGCTCCTTCAGCTGCAACGTGGGCAGCTCCTTCTGGATACGCAGGAACCTGAGGGGACAGCAAGGTGACACCGGGCTCTGCCACCACCACCACCACCAACCAGGGGAACCTCACTTTTTGGCAATGTTGAGCATTTTGAGTTTCTTCTTCATGCGGGGCCGCGAGGTGCTGGAAATGGTGGTGTCCACCAGCGAGGAGGTGGACTGGGAGACCTGGGGGGGAGAGGTGGGGGGACCGAGATGCGATGTCAAGCTGCGGTGACATCGGGGAGCGTCACCCCGTGGTGACACAAGGGAGATGCCACCCCCAGCATCACCTTGCGCATGATCTTGCGCCCGTAGAACAGCATCTTGTCCCTTTTTCGGAAGCGGTATTTGGGCGTCTCCTGTGCAGGCACCTCTGGAAAGTGGGGAGGGGACAGTGCTGTCACCCTACTTGCCACCCTCTTTGTCACCTCCCCCATACGCCTAATTTTCCACGGGGGAAACTGAGGTGCCTCTGTGTCACCCCCTGGTGTCACTCACTCTTCAGGCGCAGCCGCCGGACCAGCAGCACGATGCCAATTGCAATGAGGATGGTGAAGAGGCTGAGGCTGAGCATCGCCCACAGCACCTGGGGAGGAAGATGAGGTCCCCGTGTCACTTCCCATGGCACTGCCACCTTGATGGCGTGGAGGGACCGCGGACCTTGGGGTGTGGGATCAGCCCCCCAGTGGTGCTCAGCAGCAGGACCGCATCCCCCAAAAGCGTGGGGACAAGTTGGTGTCCCCTTGGCTGTGCTTGGGGACGTGGTCCACAATGGTGTGGTGACAAGTTGGTGTCCCCTGGGGCGCGAGGACAACTCTGTGTGCCTTTAGGGGTACTCAGCATTGGGGTTCAGGCTGTATCCCTGCATTACGATGACAACTTCATCACCTTCAGCTACAGCAAGAATTGAAACTTGGGGGACACCATGGGGACACGTGTGCATCCCTCTGAGCTGTGCTTAGGGACAACTTTGTCCCCTAAGGGACAACTCTGTGCCCTCGGAGGGGACTCACCGTGCTGCTGGAGAGCTGCTCCTTGCTAAAGAGCTCAGACAACGTGGCCATCAGGGACGCGTCCTGCGGGGACAAGAGGCTGAGCTGCAGGGTTGGGGACGTGGGGTGGTGGCTGTCACCTCGTGGGGACGTCCCCTACCTCCGCCTCCTCCTGTGGCTCCAATGCACTCTGCCCCATGTCCGCTGAGGGGCTTCGCCCATGCAGAAATCTACCAAAAAATGGGAAAATTATAAAAATATCCTGGGCTACGCAGCTCGTGGGGACACGGAAGGGACGGCAGGGAATGGCGACAGCGTGGTGACGTCTGCAAATGGGGTGAAGTGAGGCTGGGGTTGGCTTTTTTTAACCCAATGGGATGCACGGGTGACCCCAGAGTGCCCCATGGGTGCCCTCGAGGTGGGGGACATCTGCAGATAGGGTGAATTAGGGTCGGGGGTGGCTGCCCACCCCAGTTGGATGCATGGGGGCTGTGGGCACAGGGCGTCCCCAGGGTGTCCCCACCATTGCGGGGTGGCACAGAGCGGAGCAGCTGTTGGAGGATTTCCGTGTCCTTGCAGGGAGGAACTGTCCCAGGCGTTGCGACAGCCCCAGAGGCCTCCGCTGTCACCGTGTCACCCGATGTCACACCCCTTC